TTCTGCTATCTTCTGGAAGTCAGCTGCTTTAAATATTTTACTGAGGATATTGAAACTCTACTGCTTACACCCGATTTATTGATTAAGTTGGATATAATTACATTTTGCAAGGCTCTGGCGCGTATGATATCGTTTAATAAAAAAACAACAGTTTACAATCGGCACTAACTTTGTTTTACATTAACGCATTAACATTAAGCGTTAACATTTAAGAATGTGTCTGTAGAACGGATATTTAATAAAATCAATTTATTTAAGTGTTTTCAATTGATCATTTTACGAAATTTGTCTGCATAAAGTGACGCAAACGACACTAAGTACAATCCATGCACGCCTATTACTGTCACGTATTATCCAAAACTATACGTATTTAAATCTGACCCATCCGCCAAAATGTAACATTTTACTTCTGTTACTTTTTGCAATAAGAACAGTTACAGTGATTTAATATTTTAAATGGAAGTCAAAATGACTTCAAACCAAGTGCCCCTCACCGCTGTTGGTTCGAATCCCGACAGGGACTTTGGATTCTTTCATTTGAGGAAGCTATCAAGCAAGCATACGGAACGTCGAATGTTCTACCCGGGTGCCCGTTCGTGCCTGAATTAATGCACGGAGGCGCATTTACGGTCTTCCTCCACCAGGAGCGGGAACGTCGCCATATGAAGTTTATTGTGTCGGTGTGACATAAAACCGAATTGAAACAAAAACAATAAAGATCATCAACAGTGTATCGGCTTAAATTCCTTACCATTGATTAATATATGTGATTCATGAAGCAGTGTTTCTTATTCTTCTTTAAGGCAGCTTATGCTATATTTAAAGTTCCGTTCCAAATACTGCATTGTTAGAATAAACCGATTAACTATTCAAATTAAATGTGACATTCGGCTTATTTTCATTGTCAACGTTATTTATTATTTCATAACCATGGCGCCCTTTGCAAAACGACGCGACATTATTTCCTTGAATCTAACGGTTTATGTTACATGCAACAAAATTATATCTTCATGTTTGTGAAAGACCTTATTGTAATGCCGATTCGGACACAGAGGTTATACTTGAAATCGGAGGTATTTTTCAAAAATGGTTGCAAATTTAGTAACATGTCTTTCTTTTGTATCAAACTGCTATGATTTCACTTTCATGATGTCAAAGTCACTTATAATAAAACAAGTCCCGCATCCAACTCGTAAGAAAACAAAATCCTACGGGACAAAGCTTAAACAAATATATTGATTTATAAATGTGTAGCTATAATCATCGCAATCACCAACAACAACGTTTGTTTCCACTTATAATAATGACCATTATTATTAAACGGAATAACAGCATAATCAACAATGTGATCATCATTGTTGTCATCATCATCTCAATAAGTGTAGTTGCTCACCATTTCTTAAATTATCAGAAATATTTTACTATAATTAGGAGCACTGTCATTATGAGAAGCAGCAGCAAGATCCTAGGAATACAGTTCTGCAACTTTACTCACCATCATTCATCTTTTCTCCCATTGTAAGTGTAAGCATTGCTGTATTTTAACACACTCCTTGCACTTGAAATCTGTCCTTTCCTTTTCCTATCCTATAGGCACAGCTAATTGACAATTCTCATGCATACGTGATACAATCACAATCACTGTCCTTTGGCTGGCAAACGTCTCTATGTTCATGACATGCACTCTAATCAAGTACCCTTTGAATACCATTTAGCAGCTCTACTGACAAAGCTATTAGTATAGGTGCATTTAATATTAGTGACTGTTTTAACATGACACTATCAACAAACTTTTGAAAAACGTAATGATCCAGTAGGCTGTATCAGTTTAAAGGATATTATTCACAGCGATATAAGGCTCAAACCTCTAACGCAATGAAAATGATAGGAAAAGGCCCGCGTGAAATGGTTTCTTTTTGGCCCGGCAAATGGCTCTTTAATGTACACAATGTCTAAGAAAGTTTGTAAAAATTATAAACTAGAGCGAACCGTTTATAAACCTTTTGCAGATTTGATTTTGTACTAGTTTGGATGGTCTTCTTTTTGGTTGGGAAAGGGCTTTCGGCCTTATATTGTGTAACGAACACCTTCTAAACTAGTACAAAATCGAATCTGCAAAGGAATCAACACACATTGTTTATAAACGGTTCGATCTAGAACATTGTTTTTTACGTAGATATCTAAGACTTTATATATATTGAAAGAACTAATTGCCTGTCCAACAAGCGTCAACTATACGCCGGGCCTCTTTCTATATCTATCCTTCCGTTAAGCCTCATATCCTTATATTACTGTGATGAAGGCCATGCAAAGTGAAACATTCTACCATAATCATTAGATTATTTTAAGTACGTAGCGTTTATTTAACAATGGCTAATTGTGCACGATGTCAATTCCTGTAAGGTCGTGATCTTAGGCGTATTTTTGTCACCAACCATTTAATTACATTTTAACAAGTTGTAAGACAACTGATTTTGCTTAATTGGAATAATGTTTTTCTCATTTTCATAAGGGTTTTTGTCGCAAATTTATACAACTTATATACAGAAAAATCTAGGGTCCAGAAGTCGACGATGCCGCTCGGAAATGGCGGGTACAAATTGATTAGTCTATGATAATGGGCTTTATAATGTGTAAGAAAGACTCTCCAAATTGTACAAAATCGAATCTGCAAAAGAATCAAACAAATGGTGGTTAAACGATTGGCTCGAGAAAATTGTGCTTTTTACGATAGTTTATAACAGAAAGAACACATTGCCGGTCCAAAAAACGACCATACTACGTGGAAATCTCAATTGATTGGGTAAGGGCTTTGGGCTTATAATGTGTAAGAAAGGCCCTCAAAACTTTGTTCTAGAAAATTGAGTTTCATTTTTTATAAATGTCTTAGTCTTTATATACTGAAAGAACTACTCGCCTGTCCAACAAGCGTCTACTTTACTCGGGCCTCTTACTTTAACTTTCCTTCCATTAACTCTTTGAGCCTTATATTGCTGTGAAGTAGGTATTGCAAACTGAAGCATTCTACTATATTATAAGATTTTTTAAGTACGTAGCGTACATTTAGCAATGGCTAACTGTGCATAACGTCAGTTCGTGTAAGGACGTGCTCTTAGGCGAGTGTATGTCACCCACTATTTAATTTAATTTTCATAAAGTTGTAAGACAAATGTATCGTGATCGATAGAAGTAAGGTTAATCTCGATTTCAAAAAGATTTTGTTACAAATTACACACATTATATACAGGAAGAACAAATTGCCAATGCAGAAAAAGACCATGTCGCACGGAAATTTACCGAACATATTGATTGGGTTAACGCTCTTGGGCTTTATTATGTGTAAGAAAGCCCCTTAAAGCTTGTACAAAATCGAATCTGCAAACTTCAAGGAATCAGACAAATGGCGTTAAAACGGTTGGCTCGTGAAAATGGTGCTTTTTACGATAGTTTATATACAGAAAGAGCAAATCGACGTACAGAAAATGACGATGCCACACGGAAATCTTCCGAACATTGTACTAATATTGTGTAAAAGGCCTTTCATACCAGTATAATATCAAATCTACAACGGATTCTGTCAAATGGTTTTAAACGGAGAAAATGGTAATTTTCCGAATTACAAAATATATACACTTTATATACAGGCCCCGAGGTTATAAAGATCCGTGAACTGTGTTCAAACGCAGTGGTAAATTAGCTCAAAGTGAGATTATAAATATGTTTGATCACTGACTTCGTTTCTGAGCCAGGAGACCGATCTAATGTTTGTAACATAGGGGCCAGAAATGACAAATCATCGTTTAAACACCATTAATATATAAGTCCCAAAGGCCTATCCCAAGCAATATGTCTGAGGCATTTCCGCGTAATATTCGGAAAAAATTCTCCAGCCAACTGTTTAAACATCATTTGACTGATTCCGTTGCAGATTCGATTTTGTACCAGTTTAGAGGTTCTCTTATACAAAATATAAGGCGCTAAGCCCTAACCCAAACAATATGTTCCGAAAATTCCGCGTGGGATAACCGTTTTTGTACCAGCTATTGGTTCTTTCTGTATATAAAGTGTAAAGAATTTCGTAAAAAAAACCCCACAATATTCACGAACCAACCGTTAAAACACTTTTAGTCTGATTCCGTTGCAGAATCGTTTTTGTATTAGTTTTGAGGGTCTTCTTTGCACAATATGAAAATGAAAGCTCTAATTCAAGCAATATGTCCGGGAGCATTTCCGCGTAACATGGTTACTTTAAGGACCAGTGATTTGTTCCTTTTGTATATAAAGTGTATAAATTATCGTAAAAAACATTATTTCTCGAGGCAACCACTTAAACACCAATTGCCTGATTAATTGGTAGATTCGATTTTGTATTAGTTTAGAGCGACTTCGTTACATAAAGCCCTAAACAAAGTAATACACTGTATATGTTGTTCGGAAAATTTCTTCGTGGAGGGTTGCTGGCTAGGGGCACTTAAAACTGAAAGATATGCTAAAAGATAATTAGAAATTCTACTCAGAAGTAATTGAAAATGAAATTTTTCTGCTATTATTCTGGAAAAAACGGGGTGAGCTAATGATTTGAAATTTTGCAACAAAAAGTTTTTTATCCAAACTTATATCAAATAAAAACATTAATCTTGAAGAAATATTTCTAGTCTCGTCATGTCACTTAAATGACTTAAATTTGAAACGGATTTTTATAAGCTCTTATTTTGTTAGTTAAACATTTAAACACTAAAAAACTCGGAGATTTATATTTGTAGAAAGTTTAACTTTAAAGCATTATCCGTCGTAATATACATTCGTAATCATAGAAATGATTGTTTTATAACTCGACCTTAATCACAAATAGAGAGTGAAGCAAATCCGATACAAATGGACAAATACCTAATAAGTTTAGAATGAAATTTTCTCTCGGAAGACATTTTATACGAAACAAAATAAAAGTTACAAAATTGCCTGATTATGATTTAATACATTTACAAAAGATATTTTCACTTTATTAAAGCTCTTCATGTAAATACGAGAGAATATTCAAAATAATAGCTGCAATGTTCAAAACTTGCCTTATCCGACAATTCTCATTACCCACCAACTCTTATAAGCGACACAATCAACTAGTCCGAACGAATGTCGGGTGAAGACATACAGTTTTACAGCATAAAATGACTACGTAGAAAGCGATATCTTTTGGAATAACTATATATATATATATACATTATGTTTTTACAGCGTGACATGAAGTCAGTGTTTAAAATAGATACCAAAACCACACGTCATTTATCGAGGAATTTAGATTGAACTATAAAGTCAATGAATAATCTTATTAGAGTTTTAACATGATAATAAATGTCACAAAACAAACTTGTTGAGTTATATACATAGATATAAGGCGGTTTAAAAACATACTAAATAATTTTTTACGGTGGATTTGGACTTAAGTTCAGTCAGAGTTCTTCTTTTCTTTTTTCTTTTTATAGACATGACTTTACTATAGTCTTGACTTTTCGATAGCTATGTACAAAGCAATATGATATATGATTCTTGTATCACAGTTTGGAGACTTAATTTTTGAAATATGTCAGATTAAATCGTATACCATTACATGCACAGTTACACGCACTCACTAGCTGTCTAGAGCATGCTCGTTGATTGGCCCATTGTCTCGCTTTTCTGGGGTTTACGTATTTTGATGACAGGGAAATGAGATAACGATAGAAAAATGATATTCAAATGCTCGCACATTGGTAACTTTTTTCTGGGGCGACAGGAAATGATTTTATTTTTGCATGTGATACAAAAGATACGGAACATCGAAACACTCGACCCCTTGTACCAATCAGATAGCTTTGACTTTCGATGATCTTTCTAATACATAATTATATTGTTTGTAATTTTCATTTATGAAAGTATCGAACTGATTTTCTCCTCAAGCTTCAACGCAAAATTTTCTTCATGGGTGCAATTATTTACTATTTCTTCCCATTCAAGTAAGTCCATCCTTTCTAAGACTACAGCAGAGATAAGGGATTCATCTTTCATATTCATTGATAGGATGATTTGTAAATAAATAAGTTTTTCTATCATATTTCGTCGCCTTCCGTCAATTTTTAACGAAGTCGGAGAAGAAATAAGGACTCCTGAAGCTGCTCGTAGTTTGTTACATCTCAAAAGAATGAAGCGTGGTCCTTCAGCTATCAACGTTCCGATCAAGTCACACAATGGTTGTCTGCTGTCAGGTGTAAGTTTCTCTGCAAGAAGATTCCTCCCTGGGATCATATAGTATGGTAACCCGTTTGAGTAGGAGACACATTTTTTCAAGAACACCAATGACAGGAAAAGTAAGTTTATCAGATTTTCCTTTCTAAACAGTTCTTTTGGAAGTAATTCTGACATCCAGAATGTAACATTTTTCATCATATAGGACGATATTCCTTTGCTGACATTCTTCAATATGTCTTTCGCGACCATCTTTAAAAGGATATATAGTTTGATTTGTGTTTCATTCAAACTACATGTCAGTTCCAGTTCTGATAGTATGAAACAGAACCTCCATTCTCGCCCTTGGTCATCACTCAGCTTGCTTCCTACAGGGACCACTTGTGCTGGCATAGAAGCTGCAGCCTCTCGTACGTCTACTGGTGGCCAACTATATAGACGTCTTCTTCTTTTCCATGTCTGAAGTATCTTTGGACAATAACATGGAAATGCTACAACCTGGTCATATGACAAATGCTGCATTACCTTTCTGGAAACTGCTGGACCGGATAGCTCACCAATTTGAATTATATCATTACAATAATCTGTAGTCCTTGTTTCCCGCATGATGCTGGATAAGAATAAAGAACTTGATATGAACTTGTTCGACCCCGACTTAAATGAACTTTCTTGGAGGAATCTTTTTGAATCTTCTCCAAGGCAACTTATCATCTTTAGCCTGGTATACCCTGGTGGCGTTTCTCGTGTATCAGCATGTAAGGTTGTAAAATCTGATACAGGAGGCAAGTGTTGTATGTCATTTGCACATATTGCATCATTAAACAGGAGCATTTGATCGGTGTCGCTTTCATAAAGAGATGTAATTCCTTCAGCCTTACTACCTGCGACTACCACACTTAATTCTTGTTGTACTGAATTAAATACACGCATATAGTTTTGCCAGTATTTTCTTCTTGTGCTTATAATCTCTTCATTGTACCCTATACAGTCAAGAATATCACTCACCAAACACGAAACTTCCATTGCAGCATATAACAACTAAAACCTTGTTTTAATCTGTTTTATGTTAAATCGCATAGTGCATCTGACATGAAATTCGTGGACTATAGAACATATTGTCCTGAAAAGACAAAATATGTGGTTTTCATGAATATTTCATGAATATTAAGATAAATCTTTTAAAAACAAAGCAATCATGATTTCTCTGATTACCATATTCTTAATAAATTATTTTCAACGCTTATTAATTTTCAAACAATAATTTACAATACAATATGTTCTACTATATTGATCGTTTGTAAAAACATGATATGCCATGGGCAGTTGTGATTAATATTTAAATCAATAACTAGTCATTGTCGGTATCATTAATCTTAAACCAAGTGTTATCGAAACTTGAATGATGTAATACTTAAACTGTCCTGGTGTAATATTCTTATCTTTAGATTTAGATAATGAAACAAATAGTAAATGAAGTAATCGTCTGATATGTCTCAAATGTCCAGAAAAAAGATATGAAAAGATATGAAAGTTCACATTATGACTTTACAGTGTCGATATGACTAAAAGTACCCAACTTTAACACTCACACTCAAAATAATGGAAATGTGAATTGAAAATGTAATATATACAAAGCTACTCGTCCACAGAATATCTCTGTGAAAATAAGCACCAATACGGGAAAAAAGACTGAAATACTGTTGGGAAAAGGCGTAAAATGAAACAAACAAACAAACAAAACGCGACAAAAACTTGTAAAAAAAGATGACTACAAACCACTATATAGCAAAAAAAAAATAATAATAATAACAAAATAACAGTGTGTTTGCTTTTGTATGTAAATTGAACTTCTCTCGTTAACACCAGCTTTTATATTTCACACCACTCGCAAATATTTAACACCTGGTATCCGCTTTGTTAAATGTACTTCAAACTTAATGCAAAAGAAAACATTTCCGCTATATAAACCACTTTAACAAGGGTAAACAAACAAAAACTCAACACCAAAAAAACAATGTTTGAAATATACGAAATGCAAAATTTAACAACGTGAAGTTGTCAAAAAAGATCTTAATGATCATAGCAACAACAATTAGAAAATAAGTTCAAAGTTTTAAATCAACATTACTTTCAGACTTGTAAAAAAGAAACAAAAAACAATCAATTTTCATAAGTTAAAAATTTATGCCAATTCAAAATAAATTTTACTCATAAAAGCGTAAAATAATTACCTTTAAATTTTCTTTACTAGCGTTTATCAAAACAATCAGCGCAATAAAAATTAAAACTTGACGTATGAACCGATAAAGAGTGCTCGTCTTACAACTAAGATCTATTTTTAGGGATCTGTAATACTCAAAAGTTATACCATAAATTCTGGTAACAAAGATATTTACTTACCACAGCGTGGATTGCCTCAATACACGTATATGATTTTTTTTCTATTTGTAATCACCTGATAAGATAATATATATCGTCTACATAAATGTATTTATGGCAAGTTGATGACACCCATTTTGAATTATTGAGGTGAATTACGGGGTTCATAGAATCAGAAAAAAAATAAACAAATCAATAAATACATAAACAAAATAAAATAAATAAATAAATAAGTTTTAATAAACATACATTTAAATTTTTTCAAAACATGATTAAAAGTAACTCAAACTCAACATAATTTAGTTTATGGAGAATTAAGCAGATAACAATAATATAGCTTCGGATAATACCTAAATTATTTCAATGTAAGTATCTGGCTTTAATTGCAGTGATTTGGGGGTAGCCAATCAAATCACTGTGAGGAGTTTTCTCATTGGTGAATAAAGTTGTTATTATTATTTAAATACTATATAGCCTTATGTTACGTCATATTGTGTTATTTTGATATATCATGCTGGAAATAAATATCACTTGGTCAATATTCCCCAGGGGCGATTAGATTAAAAAACGTAATTTCCTTGTTCTCTCCTTGGCCACAGTCAATGATGAATGGGTCTCGAAATAATACTGTATAGCGGTAACAATTTACATTAAAATGCTTGCACGGTATAACACTCCACGATGGGTGTTATTTTATGTCTCGGGTTGCTAAAATGTACTTTAACCCTGAGAAACATGTGTTATTTTTTATAATAGTGAATACATAAAAGTAAAACGGTTTAGAACAATCCAGCAATATAATTTTTAAAACAACTATAATCGGTGTAGTATTAGTACATTTTAAATGCCTCATCAATTTAGTATATTGATTGCCAAATCGAATTATGAATTAAAATGTTTATTATTAATGATGAACAAAGATCTCAGATGATTGATGTTTTACATGAAATAAACATAAAAATTAAAGATAAATAAAGGTTACTTAAGAAATTATTTTGGTTTCAGCTGTGTTTATCGGCTATTGAACATAGACTTGGAGATTGCATGCGATAGAATGTAAAATGTTAATATATTCGCACCTAAACGACATGCCGATGTGAAATTGCCAATGGACACCGCTCAGAACAATATCTAGACAAAATAAGGCAGATCACTAACGCTTCTTTTCAAGCGGAGATACATTTATAGAAATGTCCGTGGGTCAAGAGGGTTATTTATCACATACCCGTGTCGCCTTTGCGACTCCGTAATAATTTTAATGCACAAGGGTGCATTCATTTTGACGTTGCGTCATTTGTGTTATACAAACATAGTGTAGCGAGCGTGCATTTATTTTGACGTTGCGCCATTTGCGTTATACAAACATAGTGTAAAGACACCCTAAATGTAAGCGTTACAATATCTATAAGCGCGTCGATTAAAAATGAATTTTATTTACTTGGAATAATCTTTATTTTGGGCATGAGATAAATTGAATACACTCGTTTACGTTCAATACTGAATTCATTCAATGCGTTGAATAAATTCGGTATTGAACTTACACTAATTCAATATCCTCCATATTTTATCAGGCTAGGCAGAATATGGAGTGGAAACAGTTTGGCAAAATGTACAGTTCAATTTTTATTATTTCCCATTCACTTAGTATTTACATTCTATTTTATTTGTGTTAAATCAATATGGTGTCCCGCTAAAGGCAATACGAGACAAATATAACTCGAAACAACGAAAACACGAAATATTGATGGTGAAAAGCCGATATAACGAAACCACGATTGTGAAAAATTGAAGGTAAGATGATAAAATGTCAAGATTACGTTGGTGAAAAGTCGAAACAATGAAACCACGATGGTGAAAACTCGATATAATTTCTTGTTTTCATCATCGAACTTTCGACCTTTCACTATGGAAAGCCATGGCTGTCTGATATTGTTCTTTTTCAATTTATTTAACCATTTGGATAATATATAAGTTCACTTCGACTATATATGACTTGAAAACACCTTCTTATTTAACTGGAATCCATTATATTAATCCACAGTTACAATATATGAAACCATACTGTCAGTGTATGAAACCGAGTTAGCAATATATAAGTTGACTTTCTCAATATATGATTCCAATTCTTCATATATTGTACCAAAGTAGCCATGTATGGAACCAGATATCCTTATATGAAACCGAATGATCAATATATTAATTCATTTTACAATATATGATACCAATTATTCAATATATGGAACCAAAGTAGCAATGTATGGAACCAGGTGTCCTTATATGAAACCGAATTATCAATATATTAATTCATTTTTACAATATATGAAACCATTTCATCCATGTATTGAACCAAAGTATCAATACTGTGGTAATCGCGGGTAGTAATAAGTAGGATAAGTTGATTAAACATTATATGATACCAGGTCTTCAATATATGGTACCAAAGTAGCAATGTATGGAACTAGATGTCCTTATATGAAACCGAATTATCAATATATTAATTCATTTTTACAATATATGAAACCATTTTATCAATGTATGGTGCCGAAGTATCAATATATAAGTTGATTATCACATTATATGATACCAGATCTTCAATATATGGATCCAAGTAAGTCATGTATGGAACCAGATGCCCTTATATGAAACCGAATTATCAATATATTAAATCAATTTTAAAATATATGAAACCAGTTTATCAATGTATGTAACCGAATTAGCAATATATAAGTTGATTTTCACTTTATATGATACCAGTTCTTCATTATTTGATACCAAAGTAGCAATATATTGAACCAAAATGTCATTATATTGACGGGACTTTTTTTAAAGACTGTATTCTATCCTTTCACCGGTATTACAGTTTCGCGCCGATATTCCTTGTTGAACTGTCAAAGGACCAGCGTGCTTCACTGTTTGCATACTGCACATTTTCTAATTAAGGAAATATTTGAATTTAACGTCACATTCACTTCAAATGGGCTGGGCAGGCAAAACTTATCGTTATATATGTACGAGTTGTATGTCATAATTTAAGTTATTGAGTCATACTGACCATTAACAAAAACATATTTAAAAAATAAGTTAATCTCGACCTTTACCTTTGATCAAAAATGGGCATGATTATTAGCATAAGAAGAAAATACTGGCAACACTATAAGCGTTTATTAAATACACATATACACGAGTTTACTGTGGTAATCGCCTGGTATACTCTGGGGGCGTTTCTGTTGTATCAGCATCTAAGGTTGTAAAATCTGATACAGGAGACAAGTGTTGTATATCATCTGAACATATTGTATCATTAAACAGGTACATAAGATCGATGTCACTTGCATAAGGAGATGTAATTCCCTCGGCCTTACTACCCGCGATTACCACAGTAAACTCGTGTATATGTGTATTTAATAAACGCTTATAGTGTTGCCAGTATTTTCTTCTTATGCTAATAATCTCTTCACTGTACCCTATACAGTCAAGTATATCACTCAACAAACACGAAATTTTTTCCATCCCAACATATAAACAAATATAATCAAAACCTTTATAAATCGTCTTTATATTTTTACCTGCGTAGTTCAACTGCCACTGTTATTCGTGGTCCATATAACCTTTTGTCCTAAAATGACAAATTATGTGGCTTTCATTAATTTTATAGCAATTTCACAGAAATATAGCATAGAAATTTATTGAATGCAAATCAATCATTATTTCTCTTGTTACCATATTCTTGATAAATTAGTTTCATCGTTGATTATTTTTCAAACAATGATGTACAATACAATTTGTTCTACCATATTGATCGTTTGTAAAAATGATATGTCATGGGCCGTTGTCAATAACAATAAGTCAATAGTCATTGTCGTTATCATAAATCATATAACAAGTGTTATCGAAACTTGAATGATGTAATATTTAAATTGTCCTGGTGCAATATACGTATCTTTAGAAAACAAATAACAAATGAAGTAACTACATGAAAAGTTCAAAAATAGATATGAAAAGATATGAAAGTTCACATTATTACTTTAACATTGTCGACATGACTAAATGTATCCGATTTTACAAAAATATTTTCTCTGAAGTTTAACACTCGCTCTCAAAATAAGGAAAATGTGAATTGAGAGCTTAGTGGGTTTTTTTTATTTCACATCCCAATACGAGTACCATCTCTTATTTTCGTTGGATAATAAAAGTTATATTATCACGTAAAAAGAAAATGTCAGCTTTTAGCCAATCGCCTAGCCCATATAATTCTAACATACCTCTAAATTTAATGGTGTCAATGGCAAACCTAATGATTAATAAAAACTTACTATGTACATTATATAAATTGTACATTCAAAGGTACTCGTTTTCAAAATATATCTGTAAAAATAAACACCAATATGGGAAAATCAAAGATATTAAAATGTTTAAGACTTGGTCTGGTTTTCCCTTTCAAGGACCACCGTGGATAATGCAGGCTTCTATTCACTCACAGAGCATCTCAATCCCTACATATGTTTTCCTGCGGCAAAAACTTGTAACAGGATAACTGATACCACTATATATAGCATTTAATAAACAGTGTGTTTGTTTTTGTTTGTAACATGAACTTATATTTCACTCGTTAACACCAGCTTTTATATTCACGAAATATTTTACAAGAACGTGAAATATTACACATGGTGTTCGCTCAGTGAAATATAATTCAAACTAACACGCAAAACAAAAAAATCCGCTATATCAACCACTTTAACAAGAGTAAACAAACAAAAACACAACAGTAAAAAATATAATGTTAGAAACCAGCGAAAAACGTGAATTTGCCAAAAATGATCATAATGATACGGTGGCACAAAGGTGGCATGTGTGTGTTTTTATTTATCTCGTGGCCACGAGATACTATGTCGTGACCACGAGTCACTAAGTCGTGGCCACAAGATAGCTAAGTCGTGGCTACGAGATACTATGTCGTGGCCACGAGATACTATGTCTTGGCCACGAGTAACTAAGTAACTAAGTCGTGGCCACGAGATAGCTTAGTCTTGGCCACGAGATACTATGTCGTGGCCACGAGTTACTAAGTCGTGGCCACGAGATAGCTAAGTCGTGGCCACGAGATACTATGTCGTGGTCACGAGTTACTAAGTCGTGGCCACGAGATAACTAAGTCGTGGCCACGAGAT